AAGTTGTTAAAGGCTTAGAACAATTGAAATTTAATATTTATTTTTTGTTTGGCTTAATTTAATTTTTAGTCTATTAACTATTAGTTTAATTTTATTTTAATTTTTAAAGTTTATTTTCTTTTTAAATGGTTTATAAACTTTGAAGAATATTTCAAAATAGTCTCCTGTACAAAATTTTGTTAGATTTATCAAAAATAGTAGTCCTTTAAGTTTTGAAAAATGATACTATAATTCTAATAAAATATAATGACTCAGAAAATATTTTATAGAGAAATATTTTATAGAGATAGATTAGGTAAAATTTGTAATAAACTTGAGCAACTAACTCAATTCAAATAGAGAAACTTAATAAGTTTAAAATGAGAAGTTTTAAAAATAAATCTGTTTTACAGGGCAAATTGTATGCAGTGTATCCTGTAAAATTGTTTAAATGTTTCTAAAAAAATAATATAAAAATAAAATTAAGGGCATTTAAATAAATTTACAATATAGACTGCATACAATCCGCTCTGTAAAATGGTTTTCTGAAAAACAAATTTAGCAAGATAATAATAAAAACTGTTTTTATGGTGAATAATAATTTAAGGACTAAAAGATAAAAGATATTTAGTTAAAGGACTAAATATTTTATTATGGAATTAAATAAGAAGATTCATTAAAGATAATGGATATTTCCATTAAATATAACAGATTAAATTAAATTAAAATAAATGTAAAAGACAATAGACAAAATTGGAAGAATTTAAAAATAATATATGAAACTAAAAAAAATATAAAAGTTAATAAATGATTTGTTAAATTAACCTTTTTTGTTTATTTTTAATTTTTTAGTTTAATTTTATTGATTTTTTAAACATAAATTTCAATTAAAAATTTAACTTATTCATCTTATTTCTTAAAAATTAAGAAAAAAAACTCTAAAATTAAGCTATTTTAATAAACTTTTATTAAAAAAGTTTAAAATACTTTATTTTTTAATTCTGAATTAGACTAATTTTAATTTTTTTTCTCTTAGTACTTTATTGAATAACAGAATTTTAAAATATTTTTTTTTAATTTTTAAGAACTAAAACTAAAACTAATAAACATTAATTATGTATGTAACTGATTATTAAAAATAGTTAAATGCTAAATCTGGTCCCTCAACTTTAAGAAATGCACATTTTTTATCCTTCAACAATTTTTTGCACTTTTTTGATCCCTCAACTATAAGAAATGCACTATGTTAGTCATTCTGTTAATTTAAACCATTAACTTCACTTATGTGGCATTTTTTATATTTTTTTGATGATGTGGAGAGCAAAATTTAGAAAAGTGATGATATGAACAAACATTTTGACATTTCATGTTACCGTAGGCCAAATCCACTCAAATGGGTCCCACATCACTAATAAAGAAATTTGTCTTTGGATGACATGGCACCAAATCTACTCAAATGGGTCGGTCCCATATCACCAATAAAAAAAGATATCTTTTGTTGACATGACAAATTAAGTGATATTTTTTATATTTTTTTAATAATATAACAAATTAAATTAAATATTTACCCGAATAAAAAATAATATCAAATCAAATTTTATTAATTAATC